CAGGCTTCAGGCTGTTTTTAAAATTATAACTAATGAAACTGCAAGAGCTCTCAATTTGCTGGCAAAACAAAGCACTAAGATGCGCAATGCCACCTATCAGAACCGATTGGCTTTAGACTATTTGTTGACTTCTGAGGGAGGAATTTGTAAAAGATTTAACCTGAGAAAATGCTGCTTACAGATTGATAATGAAGAAAAGGTCATAGAAGAAATCATAGACAGAATGAGAAAGCTTGCGCATGTCCCCATCCAGACTTGGAAGGGAAGTTAGTACAGGAAAGAGCAGGGAACACTCTGGAAGCAATAGGCAAGGACTTCCTCAGTAGAACTCCAGCAGCCCAGCAACTGAGAGAAATGATGGACAAATGGGACTGACTACATGAAATAAAAAATCTTCTGCACAACAAAAGAAATGGTCTCTAACCTGAAGATACCACCCAGAGTGGGAGAAAATATTTGCTAGCTATACATCAGACAAAAGATTGATAACCAGAATCACAGGGAGATCAAAAAACTAAACTCCCCCAAAATTAATGAACCAATAAAGAAGTGGGCAACTAAACAGAACTTTTTCTAAGGAAGAAGTCCAAATGGCCAAAAAGCACATGAAAAAATGGTCACCATCCCTGGCCATAAAAGAAATGCAAATCAAACCACACTAAGATTCCACCTCACTCCTGTTAGAATAGCTATCATCAAAAACACCACCAACAAAAAATGTTGGCAAGGATGTGGGGAAAAAAGGAACCCTCATACACTGCTGGTGGGAATGTAAGCTGGTACAAACACTTGGAAAACAATATGGAAGCTTCTTAAAAAAGTGAACATAGATCTGCCATATGATCTATTGGGTATATCTTTGGGATATACCCAAAGAAATGTTACTCAGGTTATTCCAGAGGCACCTGCACACCCATGTTTATTGCATCACTATTCACAATAGCCAAGTTATGGAAACATCTAAGATGCCCCACTACTGAGGAATGGATTAAGAAAATGTGGTATTTATACATAATGGAATTTTATTCAGCCACAAATAAGAATGAAATTTTGTCATTCACAAGTAAATGGATGGGACTGGAGAACATCATCTTAAGCAAAGTTAGCCGGGCTCAGAAGGCCAAAAATCATGTTCTCCCTCATATGGGGACTTTAACTCTAAAACAAATGCAGTAATATTATTGGACATGGGTCACACACTAAGGGGAGAATGCATACAGAGAGAATAGGGCAAGGTAGGAAACCCAAAACTTAAGTGTTTGATGTGCCCACTGTAGAGGAGCGAATAAAATAATCTTAAGCAGACAGAGGCCACTATGGAACGGTGACCAGGAAGTAGTGAAGAGGTCAGGTAGAGATGAACCAATGCGGATTTTAATATACATGTGCATGGAAGCAATGCTAGGAATCTCTGTATAGCTATCTTTATCTCAAACTAGCAAAATCGCTGTCTTATTATCGCTTTATGTCTTCTCTTCAACAAAATTGGAGAAGGGGGCAGAACAGGTTCTGCCTGGAAACGGGGGTGGGGGGGAAGGGAGGGGGTGCGGGGCAAGGGGCAGGGGAGAGAGATGGCACAAACAATGTATGCACATATGAATAAACAACAAAAGAATCTGGAGTCATTAAAATCTGTTTGTCCCAGAATTGTTTTCTGGTAACTGTTAATATGAACACCATTATACCAGATTTTATGCCGAGGATATACTATTGAAAAACTTGTAAAACTAGGTATAAATTTTTCCACAAGAATGTCTTAAGTAAAAATGCTCTTTTATCGCATTTGCACTTAAATGCTTTTTATTTTTTAAAGATTATCACTAACTTTTTATGAAGTATATACTTTAAAATATACTATGGGGGTTGTTTGGTCTTCTTTGTGACATTAAAAGCACATCTCAAGTTCATTCACAAGTTCCTAATTTTCAACAAGGCTTCCTTTAGGGGCACAGCACTGTCATCCCCACTTAATGAGCACTCAGATGAGATTGCTTCAGAATAAAACAAAATTCACTTTATAATAACAATAAATGTGAACACAAATAAATCAACACCACAGGCATCTGCAAGGAGTTGGGATTTGGGGAAATCACAGCCTGATGCACATGTAACCTGGATCAAGAACTGCAGGCATTTTTTATCCACCAGCGAAAGTGCCATGTAGTAAATAGCATAAAGCAGTTTACATACATAGAGTTCACTCGGTCTACCAAATGAAGTAATTTTTCAAAAATTGGACATATTTTTAGTATTTCAAATTCCACACGTGAAACCAAATATTACTCAAAAACTGACACTTGCAAAATTAAATGCATACAAATGTAACCATACTGCATCACTAGGTCATCTAGATTTTAATGTATCCTTAAACACATTACTGCATACTCATCACAACAGTGAATGGTGAATAAGCAAAGAAAGGGGTCTGTATTGGCAGCACAAATACAGGGAATCTTTCTTTAAATCCATTTGTTTCCTATGGCAAACGATGGAGATGAAGTATCTTATAACTAATGTTTAAATCCTAGATGAAACATTTCAGTACAATTGAAAACCAAGTCAAAGGTAGCTAGATAATTTTCTTTAAACAGCACCCAGCTTTGCTGACATCTCATTTTCCAAAAGCAGCTGTTAGCCAAATATAGTATTGTTTATTTGCTCCTTGGAAGGCTGTTCTTAAAAAGTGATTCTTCTGGTAAAAACATTGCATCACATAATTGGGGATAACAGGAAAAGTGGGAGTTGATGTCTGTATTTAAATAAACATCTGCTTAAGTACATTTTTTGGGGGGTGGGGTGAATAATCCTTTTATTTTATGCCATTAGATGTACTGAATAATTGTGTTTATCCCTTGCATTTTGGCCACGCTAGGTTCCAAACATAGTGACACAAAATAGTTCTCTTGAAAGAGATTAAGTTGAACTCTTTTTTGCTTACTATATGCATTAGTTACTTGGGGGCCAGAGACCTTATAAATATATAATGCTAACTATTCCAGACTATTTATCTGACACATACTTGTATGTTTTTTTTATTACTTGGAACCTAACTTTTAAAATACCTGTAGTGTAAGTCCTCAATCATCCTCTGAAGGAAGGCAGAAATTGAAAACTTGCTTTTGACAGATAACATACCCAGTATCTATCATTACAGGGAGCTTAATCACTTGCACTGTCCGCCTTTTCACTTCCATCTTCTAGAACCTGAGACCAATTTTATGCAACTTTCTCAGATATGACTTCAATTTTCTTCTCACTGGTTGAGTTCTCCTGCCTAAATATTTTATCCTCATACTACATCTCTTTCTTGACTCCATTCTTATAACTTCATTATCTGAGCAAATCTTAAACAGTAAAAATCTTTTGTAACCAGAAGCCAGAAAAACCTAGGCTCTTTTTTCACTGTTGCTGAAATCTGCAACCTCATTGGGAAAAGTTGAATGATGTCCAATATACTATTCACTTATAAAATTTTACCATCTTCCTAATGAGGAAATGAGATTTATTGTTATGTGGGTGGGTTACATAGTGAATGCCAAAATCTGGGGTCACAGTGAGGTATTTGCTCTTTGGGGTTATCCAAGTTGCTATGACCTTGTTAGCATGGATAATTAACAATTCCCAAACACTGCATTTGTCAGAGGTCATAGGATTGCAGAATGATGTTGACTGGTCAAAAACATAGCATTTTGTACTCATCTGGGAAATTGCAATCTTTTTCTGCTCTGTCATTCACCATTAGTGCTTTTGCATGCGAAGTATTTTAAACAAGATGCCAAATAGGATCTCTAAAACTGCTCAATTCTAGCATGAGTTAAGATGAAGCAAATGTTCTGCTTCCCATTTGGATCCTAGAAGCAGAGAACACACTCTATGAAGAACAAATTCATATTTTCTTGCACATAAATACATTTGTCATAATACAGAACTGACACAAATGGCTATGTTTAGTTGGGGAATGTATCTTTTCCCTCAGCATTATGTGTTACCACATAATCATTCTTGTGGTTTTATAGTTCACAGCATTTTTATAGTATAGGAAACTGGCCTACAGAAATAGCATATGCTACTTAATTACAATGAAGCTCTTTACAAATGTAAAGAACTAATACTCATTAGCAAATTCTCCAAGTACATTTTGCTCGTTTCCGCATTATTTCAAGAGAAATACAGCATGGTTTCAAAATCATTTCTCAAGGTGAAGAACCGTCTTTAGAAAAGCATGTTTTACTGATTTCTAATCCTTACTGGTAAAAAGTAGGTAAATGTATAAACATTCCTACAAAATTGCAGGTCCTTTGTAAAGTCATCAGGCACATAATACATTTATATCATTACCACTATACAATTAAGACTAGAAGCTGCAAGCAAATAACTACAAGCAATCTAAAGATTTTTAAAGACATTAAGATATATTTAACTGTAAGAGTGCTTAAAATTGAATTTTAAAAAATTATCAACTGTCTTGGTATTAACGGGTTGTATTAGTAAGGGCTCTGAGGTTTAAATGATAGAAACCCAATTCGAATTAGGATAAGGAAAATTTTTCTTGCTCAGCAGCCATCTTTGCAGTTGCACTTGGTCAGGGGCCATCTTACACTCAAGGCAGGTAGTAGATGGTGGCTGCAAAGAACAGGAGAAAGTATCTAGAGTCAATCAAAAATAGGTTCCAATTTGTTATGAAAAGTGAAAACTATGTGCTGGGGTACAAGCAGAATCTTAGTGATCAGACAGGACAAAGCAAAATTGGCCATCCTTGCCAACAATTGGCCAGCTTTAAGGAAATCTGAAATAGAATACAATGGTATGTTGGCTAAAACTAGTGTCCACCACTACAGTAATAACTGAATTGGGCACACCATGTGGAAAATACTATAGTATGCATATGCTGGCCGTCATTGATCCAGGGGATTCTGGTATCATTAGAAGCAAGCCAGAACACACCTATGAAAAGTAAACAATGCAAAATTTTTCTGTAATATAATTTTGCCAGTGCTGGTTTTTTTTTTTTTCAAATTAGGATTAAAAAAAGAAACCCACACTCACACACCTGGATGGCTCACACATCTTTAACGCAATACGAGAACTAAGTCCAAATAATTCTAACCAGGGACACCATGTCCCAGGGCTCTTTTTGATTGACTGGAGTGGAGGTGTCTTTCATTGTCCAACCATGTCATACCAGTTTAGCAATATCAGCAGAGAGAGAACATCATTCCCTCAAGTTTGTATAGCAAACAGGATCCTGATCAGTCTGGTGAGACCATTTTCCCATCTCATGAACCAATAATTGCTAATGGGTTATTATATATTATAACGGATCCAATCTGGGTCATCCTTAAGAAATTTCACTGACTCCAGTTAAACATGAATTGGGCTGAAACTTACCTCTGCACAACTTACTAAAGGAACTAAAAAAGGTACTTATTCAACAGGGCTTTTTCAACTTATTTTAGCCTTTTACTATAAGTTCCCAGAAAGCTTTTTATTGGGCTATTATAGTAACTAAATCCTAAAATACTAATTTTTCATGATTTTTAATTTATACATGCCTTACACCCTGTACCTTATGTATTAACTTCTCTGCATCATTATTGCCTATGCATTTAAATTTAAAAATTTTAAGACCCTCACCCCAGAGAAAACGCATAATTGTTTTTCTCTTTAGTGTTTTTATAATACTATGCTCAATATAAAGAGCCCCCTCCCCACTCTAAAGAATATGGACAGAAACAGAAATAGATTAAGCTAAAGAGATTGTATGATACCATAAATCTTAAGACAACTAATACTAGATATATGCTCAAAGTTGCTAAACAATTGATAACTTGTTTTAGCATAGCGAGTTTTTTTAAAAAAATGATTTCTAGGATGCATTTTTCAAATTTCAAAATCAAAACTGTTTAGGACAGTACCAGAGTTGGCTCCCAGGTGTTTCTGGCACAAAACACATTTAAGAACCAACTGATCTAGCGCCATTTTAAAATTAATCAAAAGTTCCACAGCACAAACTAATTTAAAAATATGCATATGATCATTTAAGGTGAATAAAAATATTTCACACAGAGCACAAATATTTGGAGCAGGATCAAAAGCAGGTTGGTCATTATAGCAATGAGCATTCTACCTTCTCATTTCCCTGGTACACCAAATCAGTTCTAAATTGGTATGTGATTGATTTTAAAATATTAGGCTCCAAGGAAAAGAGTAGTGAAATTACAAGCTTGCTTCTATATATCTATATAGGCTCCAAATATTGGTTTATTACATTATCTATGGCACTGAAACAAAAGTATATATAGGACACACTGATTGTTTTCTGTTCTACATTGGAATAGAAATTAGTAGTTAATGCCAATCCTGAACTACTCAAGGTTGCAACCCACAATTTAAAAGAAACAGATCTAACTCAAAGCTTCATTTACTAGGTTAAGGAAACACAAGACTATAAATATCCATTAAATACCCACCATGAAACCTTCACATTCCACATGAGCTCAAATGACTTCCATCTGCAGATTCTGCATTCTTTAACAGCAGCTTGAATTCTACCAAATCTCTATAACAAGGCAACAAAACTATGTATCTTAGAACCCACTGCCAAAGAAAGTGACCTCCATTTTGTCCTACAGAGCCCAAAACTTCTAAGACAAAACAGATAATGCAAAACACTCATTCTGAATTAACTCAGTGTAAGGATCAGTAACAAAGGAATGCAGATTCTAGCCACAGGTAACAAGAAAAATAGGAGATATGGTCAGAAAAAGAACAGATGTATACTAAAAGAGCAATAAAACTATTTTTAAAGATATTTTGGCTATAGCAAAAATAACTTAAAGCCTCCAAAGCTAGTGATTTTAATTCCCAAAGCTAGTGATTTTAGCTAAATACTTGCACATTAAAATACTTTTAGGCTACTAATAAACAAAACTGTCAAAGTTGGTAAGTAGTTTTTAAGTCAGACTGGAAAGCCAAGATAAGCAACTCCTACATACAGTTATTACCTCTGACCAGGGCATAAGAATTTACTTAGACAAACAGCTTTCATAACATGCCTAAAAATAGGATAGTCCATAAATTTTCAAAGCAGTTCTTCCCTGCTGTGGACAGCCCTTGATCTTTGACTGTAAAACATGGCAAACTTTGGCATGCTCTAATGTTACTTTTATAAGTTACTGAAAACCTCTATAAACTTAGCATCTCTTCTCAGATCTGCAAAACGTTCTTATCCTGAATGCCTAAACATTTAGGTCACAAATTGAAATACCAGTAGAGAAATACTCATTTTTAGGCCGACTACTTGGCAAGAAATTGACAAGTACATTTAAACATTCAGAACATAAAAATACTTCAAAGCATTATGAAACTTGAACTTAGCCACTTTCCTAAATTTCAGTAGTTCCAACTGCCGGAAAATATAACTGCTTTAAGGACTGAGATGATTTAAGCTAACTTAAATTTCCCCAATTCCTGACATTAATAGTAGACTTATAATTTTATTATAGTAACAAATAGTGTCAGTGAGATCTACACATATACAGATTATATTTAAATTCATATAGAACAATATTTACAATTTAAGTTATACTTTTGATATCAGAAGGTGAAGTACAGCTTAAGTTTTACAACATAGAAAGAAACACATACAAGACAAAAACAGAGCCAACAGTAAAATACAAGTATAAATCCTTGATATAACATGTGGAAACTTTATCCGAAAGCTCTACATCTTCTTAATCTGATTGTCCAAATCATCAAAATATGGATGACTCAGTGCCATTTTGCCAGAAATTCGTTTGGCAGGATCATATATCAACATTTTCTGGAAAAAAAAAAGAAAAAGGATATTTATTTGGAAAACAAGCCATTTCTTAAAAATTTCCATAAAACCTTGGCTTTTCTACCAATAAACCATGTTAACGATTTTAGTGGAAAAATCTACAAAATGAACATGTCCACTGGTCTAACACCAAGCTACATAAATGCCTCATTTCCCCGTATTTCACCATTGAGCTCCATAATAACCTACTCCTTAAATCATAGATAATTTGATAACATTTTTGTCATAATTTACAGGAATTCAGAAATAGTTTTAAAACCAAGACACGGATTTAGGTATCTAGTTAATTATATTTACTTGGAGAATTAAATAACTATGAGTTATTTATAATATTCTTGAAATGGTGGCAATTAAATTAACTATAGTGGTTATTTTTTAGCTTCCAAAAAACAAATCTAAAAAAAACACCCACAATGATTACAAACATAGCTAAAAAAAACAAACAAAAATCAATCACTAACTGAATTACAGCCAGGCAACCTAATATCAAAAAACAAAACTAAAACTAAACCAACTAGTAGATGAGTGCTTGCCTAGCAAGTACACACCAAGTTCAAAACCCTAGTACCGCCAAAAAACAGATAACTAAAAAACAAAAACAACAACAAAAAACACAATGTAAATATTCCTCTCAAAAGCCACTAGTTTTTCTTGGTGTATCTGTGATGACTAATCTTTCAACTTGATTAGAGAAAGTGTGAGGGGGTTTCCAGAGATGATATCATCAGGGCTCTGGTCTAATCAATGGCTTAATTCATTAAACCATTCAAAACTTCGTTGGATTCAAAACTTGAATAGACTATGGGATGTGGCAGAAATTGAAAGGTGGGGCCTAGTAGAGAAAGCAGGTCACTGGAGGCATGTCCCAGCAGAGCATATTTTGTCCTAGTTGCCATAAGTTGAACAGCTCTGCTTCATCAAGCCCTCTCTGCTATGATGGACTGACACCTCAAACTGCGAGCCAAAATAAACCTTCCCTCCTTCACTCAAGGTATTCTGTCACAGCTATGTGAAACCTAATTAACACAGTATCTAAAATGGAGCTAGTAAACAATGGACACAACAGAAAACTAACATAACAAATACTAGTTTCATCCTATTTTCTGGTAAAACAAAGGAATGAGGGCTGGAAGTGTGGCTCAAGTGGTACATAGCACCTGTCTAGCAAGTGTAAGGCTGAGTTCAAACCCCAGTATCATCAGAAAAGAAAAAGATCAAAGTATCCCTTGCTTAAGTATAAAGTATGTCTTGCTTACTGAGAGCAAATCCAAGCCATTTTCATCCAAGTTTTTGACATGGGATGCTAGACTTCCTGGTTTCCACTTGGGAAATGTATTCTTATAGTCCTGTAGAGATTCCACATCTGGCCACACTTCATTATTAGGAGTGCCCAAAGCTCTAAAAACCATAGCAAAACAAAAAATTATTAGTTAAAGCAAGAAATATAATCATTACATATATGTTGCCTTTACTATTAACAGTTTAGGAAATAAAATACCTGAAAATTCTGAAGAGTTGATCAATTTCTGAATCACCATGGAAAAGTGGTTTCTTAGTTGCCAGTTCTGCAAATATGGTGCCTATACTCCAAATGTCAACTGGAGTGGAATAACGAGCCGACCCCAGCAATACTTCTGGAGATCTATACCAGAGTGTTACTACCTATCACAAAACAAATTGTACACTGTATGAATGTGGTGCATCAGGTACCTAAATTTAAATATTTATGTTTCATTAGGACTGTCCTTCAGAAAGTTATACCAATAGTGTTGCTTAAGTCAATTAACTACATATAAAATACTAAATTGGAGAATACTGTAGGGGAAAAAACAGATAAAAACATACTAAATCTCTTCTTGCTTTTAAAATCATTGAAGTAGAAGGATCTTCAGTTATAGTCTAATCTTTTCCAAAAACAAATATAAAACCCCCTATTAATAATGCATTTGGGAAGAGATACTCTACAAAAGTACAGATACTGCTTACATGTTACATTTTAACATAAATAAGATCAGTAAGTCAAATAATAATTTATTAGTGATTCAGAACTTACCAACCATTTTTAGTGCATTTATCATAATGGTAAAAATATCACTCCTAAGAACAAATCTAACAAGGTTGACAGCAATTGTTTAAGCCAAAGAGAAACAAATAACCTTATTTATATAGCCACAGAAAGAGTAACAAGCAGCAAGCATCTCATCAAATTAGCACTGATTTGATCTATGGTCTTTGGACTCAAGGGTGTTCAACTCCACAGAAGATAGCTATTCAAAAATCCTGTATTATATGTAATTCAGGGTTCCCTTTCCTTCCAGACACCAATCAAAATGCCAAGCTAATACTAACAAAATTATAACACGATTATAGGGCTGAGGATGTGACTCACTGAATATGTACATATATAGTAGCTTCTGAATGTATCATAAAGAAATAGTCACCTTAAACAACAAAATCCTTTAATCTAATTTTGTACCAGGATCCAACTAGGAGATAGAAACCACACACTGATTTCAATAAGAAAAAGTTTAATAGAATTAAATGGGACTGGAATGAGACAAATAACCTAGTAATGGCACACATTCAAAAGCACAAAAATATTAGTCAACTTACCTCATGGGTATATACTCTAATAGGTATTCCAAAAGCTCTGGCAAGGCCGAAATCAGCCAGTTTGATTGTTCCTTTGTCATCAATCAATAGATTTTGAGGTTTTAAGTCCCTGTGAAGAACTCTTCTAGAGTGACAAAACACAATCCCCTGAAGGATCTGGTATAAATAACTCTGGAAAAACAAAATATAAATGAAAAACTAATCATACACATATAGTTTTCTAAATTAACTTATTTGTTCCAAAGATACAAAAATGATTCAGGAAAATAATTTAACATTCAGAAAAGCTTTCAGGTCAAACATGGAAGCTCATTTACAGTCTTTGTATACCTAAGACAAGATATTCAGCTCATAGACATACCTGTATCTGTGTGAACTTATTCCTCTTATTTATTAATTCAGAGACAAGTGCTTTACAAGACACTTGTCAAAGACAACATAATTAATATTTGAAGCATCTTGGGCACCAAATATATAGTGTATATAGTAAAATATTGATTTAAAGGTTTAAAATTGCACAATACATAAACCTAGTTAGAACTGAGTAGCTATTTGGGAAAGAAATTTGACCCACACCCTGGTTCTTAAACCATTCAGAATTTAAGGTAAAAAATGGGAGGGGGCTGAAGGGAGATTCCTATAAAACTACCAGAAAATATTGTCATTTATTGTTCTAAGAAAGACAAATAAAACTGTTAAGTCCAAAAGACATGTTATAAAACTTACTAGTGTATACCATTAACAAAGATGAAAAAAAGGTTAAAGGAATTATTATCAACATGTAACCGAAAGGAGGATCTTTGAAACCACTGAAAATAGGTAACATCCTAATAGAAAAGTCCATGAATAATTAGGTTGCTTATAAACAAGAAAATATTAAAAATGTTAAATGTCAAATTAAGTTAATATTAATATGCCTTTCCACAGAAAAGGTTGGTAATAACAACTTAAACATCATGGTTGCTTAAGAGTAAATATCTATAATTTAAAACATTTTAAGACCGCAGCTGAAACTATCAAGATCTTAAATACATCTACTCAATTCCAGTTCTAAGGACTTATCCTATAAAGTTTCATACAAAACTAAATACATACAAGGATATTCACTGCAGCATTATTTATAAAAGTCAACAGTCTCCACGCTAGGAAATAAATGTCTATCAATATGGAAATGTAAATAATTACATAAAAAATTTATATTTACAGGGCTGCAGGAGTGGCTCAGGCGGTAGAACACCTGCCTAGCAAGTATTAAGTCCTGAATTCAAACCCAATACCACACACAAAAAAAAGTATATAGACACAGGTAAACATATGTGTCTAATAACATTTTATACCCAAAAAAGCAAACGTATATATGAACAGGTATGCGTGTTGGAACATACACACATGTAAATATAGACCACTTTTGCAAAGGAGTTTCTGTTTATATACATACAAAGTAGACAGTGAAGTATCTGTGAAATGGCCTGGAGAGGTAGTCAGTGGAAAGCACTTGCCTGGCATGCATGAAACCTTAATTTCAATCCCCAAATAATTAACAATAGCTACCTCTTTTTTTCTTTTGGCAGTACTAGAGATCAAACCCAGGGTCTCACACATGCTAGGTTGACTTAGCTTATTAACTCTACCATTGAGTTACCATTTCCAGCTCTCTTTTAATTTGTTTTTGAGACAGTCTCATTAAGTTGCCCAGGTTGGCCTTAACCTTGCAGCCCTCCTCGCTTAGCCACCCAAGTAGCTGGGAATACAGGAGTGCATCACTATGTCCTGCAACTAACAATGATTATCTCTAAGGAATAGTTTCCTAAAATTGGTGTAAGGAGAAGATACTTTTAGTTTATGCATCTCAGCACTTAAAAAAAATTTGTAATTTAACTGAAATAAAACAAATGTCTATAATACATTAACCAAAACAATATTTTAAACCAGAATGAAGCCATCTATGACATGAACACCATCCTGCTCCAGGTGTTTGTTATTTTATACATGAGTTGACACCCAAAAACCAGAATACCCTAGTATATCCTAGTATAGTAATTATAGTAATCCATAGTATGTGTTATCACTTTCGTTATATTAGGCACTATTTTTCACGTACTACAAGCACATCTGGTAATCAAAGGGTAAATGATAATCTAATCTGTGTGGAAGGAAAATTCTACTTTCCAACATTTTTTTCCAACATACTCCCACAAAACTCAAGTAGAACAGACTCTACTCTATTTGTGCAATTAGGTAATCCTCTTACCTTAACAAGTGAAGAATCCATGAACTGACCAGGAGGGATAGAATCCAAGTATTTCTTGAGATCCATGGAAAGGAATTCAAAAATGAGATATAGCCTGGAATCCTGCATAAGCACATCTTGAAGACTGAAGAATAAAAACAACTATATGAAAAAAGAATCCAACAAATATTTTCAACCTCTCACAAAACTACTGTCACAAATTTCAGAGTGATTATTATAAAGTACAGAAAGATGGTAGCTTCAGTAACAGAAATTAAAGAATGGATTTAGGTCGGCAGCTCATTGCTAAGAGCATCCATTCAAGTAAATTATAGAAATAAACTTTAAAATTGAATCTAACAGCTGTTCCCTACCTCTCTCCAGTCCCACCAAAATACAATTAGATTCTAACAGGAGTCATTAGGAAGACAACCCCCCAAAAAATCCAACCCAAGTAAGGAAGTAAATTTTTTTTTTGTCTTTCTTCTGATCTAATTACCTGTCTTAGGACAAGAGGTCAAAGTTCTATGAAAGGGGCTTTTTTGCTCCCATGGCCACTTCATCTTGCTTTTCCAGCCCCAAATTACTAATTCTCATCACTAAGCTCCTCTAACTCTGTTCCTGCTTTAAAGAGGCTATTCTCTTAAGTATGCCCAGAGTTTGCAATCAACAAAAATAGGACTCTCTGTTCCACTAGCAAGGTTAGACCAGAAATTAAATGCAAAAAATTACATTAAAACTTATTTAAAATGGTATGCAGAAAGTGGTTTAAATTCAGATTATTTTACCATACCTGACTATATTTGGATGACGAAGTTCTTTTAATAGAGAAATTTCCCGAATTGCAGTACTAGGAACCCCTTCCTCTTCACTTTCTAGTCTGATTTTCTTCATGGCTACCACTTGACCTGTAGTTTTGTGTCTACCCTTATACACAACTCCGTAAGTACCTGAAATAGACAAAGTTAACCTGCTATGTGCCACACTCCACAAACGAAAAGATTTTTTTTTTAAGTGACTGAATTCTTTAAGGTGTCACATGACAGAAATGTCTGCTGTGGTCACATGGGAAGTATCTCACTCATAATTATACCCTCACTGTTTCCAAAAAGGAAGGAATTGAGAATAACTACAACCTATTGTACATGTAGACATCACAAGTTTCCGAATTAAACAACATGAACGATCCAGCACATTTAACAGAAAAAAATGGATCTTTGGCAAATTGAAATTTACCTCCTGCCAAATATCCTACATGACAATAAAGTAGGCATAAAACGATGTAAAAATTTGAGCTCAGGAACTAGTAGATCCTGTGTCACTTTCAGAAAATTATAAGATACTTATACACCTATCTTAAAATGCAGTCAACAGTCCTCATCCAGAAAAGGAGACAAAAATAGATGTGCTTTTATTAAATCTGAATAGTTTACACTATATACTAAATAGCAGGAAAGTCTCAGACCCATATCTAAGTTGATGATTCTGATATATGGGCTTCAAATAATGAGTAACAATGTTAATAAGGGGCAGTGTGGGGGGACTGGACACAGGAACAGAAGTGGCATTAAGGAAGAAGGACTAGTTAGCTAGAACAAGCTCGGATAATGCTGTACTTAATTCTCTAAGTAAATGCTTTATATGCTCAGGTTGAAGTTTAAGGATGTCCTGAACCCCGTAACTACAAAAATATTTTGTTGACTAGCTTTTACTTTCCATGAATCAGTACAACTTCAAAAATGACTCAAGTGCATTTTCCTAAGAATGACTAGTTTACAGTTTTTACCAGTTTCTCCCAAGTTAGCTATATTTCAAAAGTCTGAAGACCACTTACAAATTATCAGCTGTTTAGAGCATTAAACAGTTTGGTCAACTGCAAATTGGTTGTCCACATAGCTCTGTTCTAATTTAATTTTTAATTTTTTTAAGGATTTAATTTAAAATAAAATCCCTTTTAAATAAATTGGTTAAATTGTGTATGAACTGTGACTTGGGATAACCAGAAATATTCCAGATTAAAGAACTGACTTTATTCCATACTCACAGTCACACTTTTAAGCAGGAATCTGTACACTTAACGTCTACATTTTGAGGGTGTGCGTTTTACTTCCATTAAACACAAAACAGACGGTAAATTAAAGCAGTCTCAAGACTAGTTACATGCATAATACAGTCAAATAAGCAGTTATGGGTAAATTCAGAACTTTTTCCTAGTATTCTTTCTCCTCTTTAGAATGCAAATCTCATCTACTCCTAAATAATTTGCAGAAGTAACTCATAACAATTGACTAACTAGTGGCCAGCACTCAATATTTATCAAATCTTAGAGCTCAGTAATGTGTCAGCCTCAGAACCATTATGTCTTACTAAACTAGAATCATTTTACTAGTTAATTACCAAAAATTATTTTCAAAACACACAGTAGATGCTCTGAAGTTAAGTAAGCATTCTAGACATAGAAATATTTTAATAGCTTACTTAATAACTAAGGAGGGAATGAAGCCATGGCTCAAGTGGTACAGAGCACCTGCCAAGCAAGAGCAATGCCCTAAGTTCAAACCCTAGCGCTGCCAAAGATTAGCACAATAACAAGCAGATTTTTTTAATTCAGAGAAAACTAGAAAACAACTTTGTAATGTTTGAAATTAGAGAAATATGGATATATTTAAGAAATGAATTATGTTGTCAAAAAATCTCAATGTTAGGAGGTAGAAAAGACAGGACCGTTCTAGATTACAAAAGATTAAGAAGGCACTAACTACAAAATGAAATGTATGACCTTGGCTGGACCATTAGAAAGTATACGTAGAAATGTCTCACATCTCTGCAACACTTCAAATGAATCAAAAAGAAAACAAAATGCTAACGCACACAGAGCTAATGAAGTAAATGCAAAACACTAACACCTTGGTAAATACATTACAGGTTCAATTTACCTATAGGTTTAGGAATATTCAAAATAAAAAGCTGAGGGAAAAAAAAGTTTTAAAACTAGTATTTTAATACTAGACTTTGACTAGGTACTTGGCATTAGCAAAGGAAAATTCTGTGTAAAAATTTTCACCTAGTTAAATAACTTTATTTATTTATTTTTTTGGCGGCACTGGGGTTTGAATTCAGGTCCTTGAACTTGCTAGGCTCACTTGAGCCTTCAGCCCTTTTTCCTTTAGGTTATTTTTCAGATTAGGTCTTGCATATTTGTAGCTTCAGACTTTAATTCTCCTACCTATGCCTCCTGGGTAGCTGGGATTTGAGATATGACCACCATGCCCAGCCTGTTTGTTTGTTGAAAGATGGGGGGGGGGTCCTCACTCTGGCTGGCCTTGAACTACAATCCTCCAGTTCTCTGCCTCCCAACTAGCTGGGATTATAGGCTTGAGTCACCATACCTGGCTTTCCACAAGTTAATTTGTCAAAAACAATATCAGCACACATTCTAGAAGAGTCAAGCACTGGACAAGACCATACAAGCCAGAGAACAAGAGTTCAGATAAACACTCAAGGAAACAGGTCAATGTTATATCAAATATTTGAGCATATCCTGTGAGACAGAGACAGACACTGTGGCCTGACAGTGGTAAACAACTGTGAACAAAACAAAACTCCCAGCTTTTATGGAGTTTGTAACGTAGCCATTAAAAGATATTAAGAGATGGAAAGTGAAACCAGTACAGGGTGACTTCAAGAGAGAATAGCCATGGCCAAAGCCCCATAGGTCAAATGGCAAGGCATATCTAAGGACGTTTAAAAAAATAAACAAATAAATCCAAATCAAAATTAGAGCTGAGTATCATTACACAAGGCTAAAGGGGGGCTAGGAGGTACAGGATAGTTGTGAAGATGGTGGCCATAGTTTAAAAAAAGAAAAAGAGTGTTAAAAATGTACCTCCAACTCAGCACTACTCTTGGTGATTCCTATCTAAGTTTTTTTCCAGTATTTCTCATTTTTAATACTCTTTGTATAACTGGGATCTTTTGAACACAAAATAAAAACGAAAATGTTCATCAAGCAGAACCTACATAAACTGGACTGTCACCAAATTATTTTGTACAAGTGTTATCATTTGTTCCTGGAGAATTTAGAATGAGAACATCAAAATGCCTATACAGAAACTTAAGTGTTCTGTTAGGGAAGAAAAGAAAAAAGCAAAATGATATTTTTACTTCTTATTTATGCCATATGGGCCTAGACATCCTTTAAAGTAAAATAAAAAAGGAATGATTATACACAAAAGTTATTGGTTTTAGAACAGCTTAAACAAATACACATTATTTAGACCTAAATAATTTAGTCAATTATTATATCCAGATTAGAAATGTAGGCAAAATTTAAAATCTTACATATTAAAATTAACTATAAGAGAATAAAATACGTATCATGAAATTAGTATAATCCTACTGACCTAACCTCTTCAACTCATCAATATCAATGGTATTTACACAGCACTGAAAAGGTTTAGTATCGGAAGGATATAAGGATTATAGTGAGGAGGGGGTTCTAGTCATAGAATAATTTAAATTCTCCTTACGTGTAAGCATACTTCTGTTTTAAGTTATTATGTAAAGAACATATATAATGCACATTAGTACTATAAGATATCTAATGATTGCATTTCAATAAGTATGGATTCATGTTACAGAAGTAGCATTACTAAACCATTTTTTATTATAATTCTTTTTTAACTATCTTTTTATTAGCTTACATTAATAGTACATGCAGTTCACTGTGGTAATTCCATAGATGTGAACAGTGGAGTACTTTGACCAAGTTCACCCTCCCTATTATATTCCTTAAACTCCCATCCTCCCCTGCTTGGTGGGTTTCATTATGCTATCTTCAGACACATAAAATGTACTTTGATTCTAAACCATTTCTTAAAACTTTTATATTATCAAAACCACTTACCTTCTCCAATTTCTCTATTTTGGTATAGTCTTCCATAGTTACTCAACAGGTATCAAAGATCCTAAAATGAAGTGGACAACTAATTTGATTATATGGCACTAACTCAAAGAGTAAGTATTAATGAAATACTACATATAAAGCATTTTCCACAGTGCCTTCCACAGCATATAGTATCCCATAAATATTTGTACTATGTTAAAACAATGTTTATCACAGTTAGTCTCCTGCAGTTAAGACTTTCTGACACTTAGGTTCTAAAACACTGCTTTAGTATATTCTATACAATGCAGTGCTTAACATCTTCAAATCGAATTAACCCTCAATTCAGACATCAAGTTATTTACTTTTCCCAAACAAAAAACAGAATTATGATCTTTTTGAGTAGTACCAGTGTGCATTATGTTCACATATTTCAATGTTAGTTGACTGAATTTGTACTTGAAAATAAAATGAGCAATTCCACAAAATTCTAATCATACCCTACAAGACCAAGCTTTAAAGTGTGTGTGTGTGTAAAACCTCAATCACAAAGAATAGTAAATACGAGCCAACAGCCTACCATTCAAGACTTTCTCAGCTGCTACGTTTGTCAAAATCCCAAAGCGTACTCACCTTGATTTTCCAACCACCCAGCAACCATCGCTGATGCCAACATCATTCTAAACGTCACTCAGGATAAGCGACCCCGAAGAGGTTCTATTTCTCACATTCACCTTCATAGAAAAGCCAACCCCAAAGCAGGGATCAATCTTTTCACATTGCTCCCTCCCACGGAGGGGGCGGGAGGGGCGCTGGGCCAGTTTCCCAGAGGACTTGGCTTCGGGCGGGTGGGGGGACGGGTCAGGAGTGCTCATCTGCAGCGCGAGTAATTTTACCGAAAAGCCACGCCGATGACCTCTGCCCTCAGCACAGCTGCGGCGCAATGAAGCGCGGCACCCAGCTTGCTCCAGGCCGGGCTCCACGCTGGCTTTAGACACCGCGCAGCGAGCGCCACGTCTGCTCTTCCTAGCCCCAGGTGGAGACCCGCAGGGCTTAGGGGCCACTTCAGGGATGGCCAGGCACACACAGTCCCCGGGCAGCGTTCGCCAAAGCCACCGGATGAGGCCGGGAGGGACACCACGTTCCTCCTGGCCCCGACCGTGCCGCCGATGTTCTTAAGGGGCCGCACAAGTGCACGGCTGGGCGCCAGGGCCCGGGGCTCGGGGGCCCCGACCCGGCCTCCACCTCCACCCAGAGCCTCCTCCGCTAGGCCGGCGGCCTCCCCGGGGTAACCCTACCTCTCCACCCACCCACACCCCGGTACCGCCGGGCCCGGCGCGGCTCCACGCCCAGGCCCCCGGGCCAAGCCAAGGCCCTGCCCCCCCTCCCTCCCCGACTCCCGGCCCAGCCCCGAAGGATCGCCCGGTTTCTCCACACTCGCGCCGAGGCCCCCGACCAGCCCCCGCCGGGACGACGCCCCACAGTAACTTTACCTGGCTTATTGTCCCGCGGCGGCCGCGGCGGCAGCTACTTCTGCGTGGCTCCTCACTCCGCTTCACGAGCCAGCTCTGAGGCCAAGAGCGAGCAGTTTCAAACTCACCGCGCTAAAGCGTCTCCCACCCACCAATCAGATAACACGTAGATTTTCAAAGGAGCCAATCAGAGCCCAGCCACGCTGCAGCTGGGCTTCGCGGGTGGCTGGAGCGCGAAAGAAAGCGGAAACCGCGGCTGGAGAAAAAGCAGCAGGGCGGGCGCAGACTGAATCTGAGACCTTCTGGTTCCAGGATCGCGTCGTCCCACTGTTTCTAGTCATCTGGTGCCTATTTTAAGAAAAACTTCCCCATGTTCACACGATTAAAATTTATTGCTATTAAAACTTGAATAGTTTATCACATACGCGACGGTGCACTTACATCGCGATTCCATTACCTTCACTTATCGTACTTAGAGTATAATTATGTTTTTTTTATTATTTAAAGAAAAAAGTGGTTAGTGGCGCAGGCCACAGGGCACATTTCAGGTACTGCAACAAGATAATGGAAAAGGAAAAAAAGGAAAATTAAAATTTTCAATTTAAAAATATTTTCACATCAGAATTTATACAAATATATTACCTAGGCTGCTCTTGAACTATCAGTCCTCGGGTCTCCGGCCCTTGAGTGCTGAGATGACAGGAGTGCACCGTGTTTTTTTCCAGCTGCCCACCCGAGCTGGGATTTGAACTTAGGGTCTTGTGCTTAAACATTCATTAAAACACAAAAATTTGCAATTCTGAGAGCAGAGGGGGAAAAAAGACCTAAATTATACTTTAAATAATCCAGTGTCAGAAGCTCTCTTTATCTCCCTTCACCATACCCTTGAGGTTTCTGCTTCTTCAAAGGTGTTCACATGTCCTTAAAAACCTCAAAACAGAAATTAAAAATGGGGACAAGAGGGGTTGTTTGTTTCAACCCTCCGAACCCCCCACCAAAAAAACCCCAAAAAACCAAGAATGTAACTAGTTTCTCCCAAACATTTAATGTTTGATACCTGATTGGATTGGAGGTAATTCAGACTAGAGTGCTTGCCTAGCATTCCTAAAGCCCCAGGTTGATCCCCAGCATTACAAGACAAAAAGACTTAATACCTTTTTACACAGTGAGCTGCCCTTCATGAATGCTCAACCTTGAAAAATTCTTTTGCTCCTAGATGACAGAAGCAAAGTTTCTGGAATTTGTGATAGTGGAGTTAGGAATTTGAGAACTCTTGCTGACCATATTTTTTTTTTTGGACACTGGGGGCCTCATGTATGCTAGGCAAGCATGCCATTTCTGAGCTATACCTCTGGCACCCTACAAACTTTAAACATGCAAAACTCACTTTTAAAATGAAAACTGGGGGGCAGGTAGATGGCTCAAGTGGTAGAGTGCCTACCTAGCAAGTGTGAGGCCCTGAGTTCAAATCCTAGTGCTGCAAGTAACAAAAATAAATAAATAAAATAAAAAATCTAAAATGAAAACTGACTGCCATAGAGAAGTGCTGTAGCAGGCTGCTCTCTGCTGATTTAGGATACTGATTCCAATGAGTGTGCTTTTCTCTCTGAGAGGCTGACATAATTCATTCTTTTCTTTTCTTGCTTTTTTTTTTTTTGTGTGGAACTAGGGGTTGAACTCAGGACTTCCTGCTTGCAATGCAGGTGCTCTACTGCTTGAGACACACCTCCAGTCCATAGAATTCAATTTATATCATCTAAAAACAGCAAGTAAATAATTAAATTCATTTTTAAATTCATTTTACATTCAACAAAAAGAAAGCCACAAGCTTCCATAGCTGTGGTACTCTTTTTTCTTTTTTTTTCAACTTAACTCAATTAGTGTTCTCTTGAAAGTTTCAGGAATTATTATAATTTCATGTTTTCATCTTAGCAAATGACAGTTCATCACACTTCAGGCTAACTTCTTTTCAGTGTCTCTAAAATACAACACCATGCTTTATGTACACCAAAATGAATGAGATGCAATTCCTGCTCTAGTTTGTTGAGGCTGGAGAAACAATGATTATTTGGAATTCTGTGCTGGCACTTAGGTTGTAACTGTTACTATATGGTGAGAATATGGGGAAAGAGTTAAGGGGGTAAATTACTAATTTTAACAAATAGAGGAAGTGACATTTAAATAAACACTGGGGGAAGAACTGTAGGCTGGGCCTTCCAAGCAGAGGAAATTGTGTGAGTAAAGCACACAGGCCAGAAAGTCTGCCCAGGTAATCCAGGGTGTCTCCATTTCAGATGCAGGGATGTCATAAGTGTTAGGCAGGAAAGAGCAAATCCTGAACTGTCCTCTCTGCATAGGACTGTTACACACAGTCACAGAACTATGTATTAGCAGAGCAACTCTAGAGGTGACATGAAAAATGAACTAACAGGAGAGGATGAAAAGTTAGGTGCTTCCAAACATTTTGTATTTATATTTTGGTAAACTTGATTTCAGAAAGAAAAAGAAAACATCACTTGGTACTGCACGTAGGTTGGTTGGTTGTCTTAGATAGAAGTATTCCTGTGGACTAAAACCCTAATCCCCAATGCCATAGTATTTGGAGAAGGGGCCTTTCGGAGGTAATTAGGTTTAAATGAGTTCATGCGGATGGGACCCACATGATACGATTAGTGCTCTTAAAAGAAGAGACAGCTGACACCTGTAATCTTAGCTACTTGGGAGGCTGAGATCTGGAGGATCAGGATGCCTGACTAGGCAAATAGTTTGTGAGACCCCTATCTCCTTAATAACCAGAACAAAATGGATTGGAGGTGTGGCTCAAGTGGCAGAGCACCTGCTTTACAAGCACAAAAACCTGAGTTCAAGCCCCAGTTCTGCCAAAAACAAAAAAGAAGAGACAGGAGTATTTCTTCGTCCCTGCCATGTAAAGTTAGAGTGAGAACACAGAGGTCTGTGAGGAGGAAAACCCTCAGCTGACCTAACATTGCTTGCTGTTTCTCTGATCTTGGATTTTCAGTGTCTAGAACTATGGGAGAATAAATTTCTGTTTATGGGAGCCCAAGCTATGTTTTTTTGTTTGTTTGTTTTAGTTAAGAAAAGTTTGCTTGAAAATATACAAACTACAGTCACCCTTCAGGGTCTATAAAGACTGGTTCCATGACTCCTGACCTGTGCAGGTACCAAAATCATCAGAAGCTCAAGACCCTTATATGAAATGACATAGTACTTACATACAACCTACAGGGACCATCATATACTTTAAGTCATTTCTAAATGACTTACGATACTGAAAACAATGTAAATAGTTACACTGTACTGTTTAGCGAAGAATGACAAGGAAAAAAAATGCCTGCATATGTGACAACAGAGAGGAATGGCAGATTCTTGATAACAGATAACATTTTTTTTCTTTTTTGGAAGAGTTGGGGTTTCAACTCAAAGTTTGCTCTAGGCAAGAGCTCTACCAGTTGAGCCACAGCCCTACTCCCTTTTGTTTTTCAATGTATTTTTCAGATAGCGGCTCCCTTTTGCCTCTGGTCAGCCTCATACCAAAATCATCCTATCTCCACATCCCACATAGCTGAGGTTATGGATATGCATCACCATGCCCAGCTCAGAGGAGTTTTAACAGAGCAAGATTTATTGAGGTAGAAACAAATGGAAGTAATAGTGCAACTCTAGATAGGATGAGGGTGGATAACTTGACCAAGAAGCTGAAAGCTTCAAGCTCTCAGGTCTTAGGCATATTTATAATTTAATGATTATGCTAAGGATAGGTAAATAATTGTGCACATTTCTGAGAAATGAGAGGGCATTTCCAAGAACTGGGGAACAGGGAATAATAGAATTAGGGGAACAGCTAATAAGGTGTCATCAGAGTCAAGATGGTGATTTCTGCATACAGAAAACCACAACTACAATGAGATGTAGGTGAGGCCTCTGGCTAACCTTAGAGTGAGAAAAGTCTCTTTTGGTGACTGTTGACCACTGTCCCAAGAAGTAGCCTTAGCTATGTTGAACAGTTATACAAGACAGTCTGGTTAAAGTACAATATATTTACAGGTACAATACCAAGGCAAAACCCTACTGAACAATGAACAGACACTTAAACAATGAAGGACAAGAGTGTAAAACAGGTCATGTTAAGTGGAGGGTATTTGTGGGAGGGGGAGAGTAAATGAATAGG